CCTTCCTTCTTTGTTTCCTTCCTTCCTTCCTTCTTTCCTTCCTTCTTTCTTTCCTTCCTTCCTTCTTTCCTTCCTTCCTCCTTCCTTCCTTCCTTCCTTCTTTCTTTCCTTCCTTCTTTCCTTCCTTCCTTCTTTCCTTCCTTCCTTCTTGTTTCCTTCCTTCTTTCTTTCCTTCTTTCTTTCCTTCCTCCTTCTTTCCTTCCTTCTTTCCTTCCTTCTTTCTTTCCTTCCTTCTTTCTTTCCTTCCTTCTTCCTTCCTTCCTTCCTTCTTTGTTTCCTTCCTTCCTTCCTTCTTTCTTTCCTTCTTTCTTTCCTTCCTCCTTCCTTCCTTCCTTTCTTTCTTCCTTCCTTCCTTCCCTTCTAATGTAATCTTTGAGAAACTCTTTTATGCTTTCACATAATTTTTCAATGTTCAGTTTTCCTCATTGGGGATGGGAGGGGGGAGATAATAGAATAAAGAGAGGACTGTAGGATCCACCAGTTACCTTCACAGAAATGTAATCCAGGTGACTAGAACTATTATAGCAACAAAGAGGATTAGGGGACTGGAGGCCAAAACATATGAAGAACAGTTGCAGGAAGTGAGTATGTCTAGTTTAATGAAAAGAAGGACTAGGAGAGACATGATAGCAGTCTTCCAATATTTGAGGGCCTGCCACAAAGAAGAGGGAGTCAAGCTATTCCCCAAAGTACCTGAAGGCAGGACAAGAACCAATGGGTGGAAGGAAACTAATCAAGGAGAGAAGCAACTTAGAACTAAGGAGAAATTTCCTGACAGAACAATTAATCAGTGGAACGACTTGCCACCAGAAATTGTGGGTGTTCCAACATTTGAGGTTTTTAAAGAAGAGATTGGACAACATTTGTCTGAAGTGGTGTAGGGTTTCCTGCCTAGGCAGGGGGTTGGACTAGAAGACCTCCAAAGTCCCTTCCAACTCTGTTATTCTATTCTATTCTATTGCCTGCGTTCACATGAATCAGGCCACTTCCCAAAACAATGGCTGGTTTTTTCCAGACATTCGGAACCACCAAACTACTCACTCAGCCCCACTGAGGCCTAGTTTAAATCTGTGAAACCAGGACATGTGGTTAGATGATGGGTCGGTGCAGGCTACGGCTTTAATTTAGCTTAATTCTGCAAACTTAGCCAACCCTGGACAAGTGGTGCTTGGAAGCACTAACCAGGTTTCCCTGAATTTTGGGGGACAGGAAAGGGTCAGGGAAATGGAGAGTTGGGGACTGAATTTCCCCCTCTAACCAGGTTATGCTGCTGATTGAATAAATCAGTTTGCATGCATTTCCCGAATGCATGAATAAAATGTCTGTATTTTTTATTGATTTGTTAAATTTGCCTGCTGTCCATCTCATCACAAGGCAACTCTGGGTGGCTTACAAACACCAACATGAAACCATCAATCCATGTATGGCTATAGAAAGTCACACTAAACTGTACGAGAAAATACAAGCTTTACTTTTGAAAAAATGCAATTTGTTAAAAATTCAAGTCGCTAAACAAGTCCAGAATTATCTCTCCAGGGTCTCAACCTGACCCAGGTTGTGGGAATCCAATGCTAGGTTTCCAACGGGTTGGGCATCCAAGCCTTCTTGAAATACACGCAAAAAAACAACAACACACATTTAAACCCAGCACTTTTTTTAAAAAAATCTCGCAGCAAAAACTTCTCTGTTATAAAATTGGAAAAGGCTCTTTTGATTTGCAGTGCTTAGCCTTAGGAAGAAAGGAAGGAGGGAAAGAAGGAAGAAAGGAAAGAAAGGAAAGAAAGGAAAGAAAGGAAAGAAGGAAGGAAGGAAGGAAGGAAGGAAGGAAGGAAGGAAGGAAGGAAGGAAGGAAGGAAGGAAGGAAGGAAGGAAGGAAGGAAAGGAAAGGAAAGGAAAGGAAAGGAAAGGAAAGGAAAGGAAAGGAAGGAAGGATAATTGGGGCCAGGGGAGAAGCTTTCAGTTTGTTTTTAAAGTTCAATTAAGGTCCGAATCCATAAAAGATTCAGAAACACCTCTTAAAATATAAGGTATTCCTACAGGATTAAAAAAAAAATCAGCAGGAT